CATAATAATAAATGTTTTTTGAGCAGCAAATCAGAATATTAGAATGATTTCTGAAGGATCATGTGACTGGAGTAATGATGCTAAAGCTCTGCTTTGAAATCACAAGAATAAATTATATTTTCAAATAGAAAACAGTTATTTTAAATAGTAAAAATATTTCAAAATGTTACCGTTTTTGCTGTATTTTGGATCAAATAAATGCAGGCTTAGTGAGCAGAAGTGAATTCTTTAAAAAACATAAAAAATCTTAGTTCAAAAACTTTTGACTGGTATGTTAGCCTATAGTTTGAAGTAAAAAATATTAATATTAATAAGGAGAGTCTGAGATTTATTTGACAGTGATTTCACATTTCTTGTTTGTATGAAGGCTAAATACCAATAAAAGGTGAACATTTATTTATTTGCGCCATTTTTAAAATGACCGAAATTAAGAAATATATCGTGATATAAATTTTGGCCATATCGCCCAGCCCTATGTGATGGGCAATTCAGCTCTTTGTATTAAGCAATGCATAAATACATGATGCTGTTTTGTTCATAATTGTTTATGCAATTTACGAAATTATATTTGATTTATATGAGTTAATTTAGACGTAATGCACGTTTTTTTATAGACAGTTATTTCCTTGAGTTGACAATTTAATGCGCTGCATTATTTTGCTCATTGCGCCCTCCTGTGGCCTCGGAAAACAAGCCAAAAGTTTCCTTAAGACCTATTTAATCTGCATATAAAACATTAGAAATTAGATGCGTTTAATTTTTATTGTGTTTGATTGTTAAAAAAAAAAAAAAAAAATTGGTTGTTTGTCTCAAATTGGGTTAGTTAAAAAATACAGTGGTAAAAAAAAAAAAAAAAATGATATTGCTTTGTTTTAAAAAAGGTTATAAAAAAATGTCAACAATTATTAATACCGAACGATATGAAACTATATCGTTGATAAATGTTTTTTCTATATTGCCCAGCGCTATTTCCATCACATATTGAAATTGTGAATTTAAAATATGCCCAATTTCGCAAAAACTCCCATATTTTTACACTCAGGATTATTTCACAAAACTGAAATGGAAACAATTTTTTCGCATTTATAGGTCCCAATATCTTTTGCCCCAATATCTTTAAATTTAAGGGCATATAACTGCATTTTATAAGCTACATCATGCAGTGAGTTGCAGTGAATGTAAGATGACGTACAGGTCTGGGGCGGGGTCAGTGCTTTAACGGCGTTAAATTATTAAAATTGTGTTATTTTTCAGTAGGGGTGCTCCGATTGATCGGCAAACGATCACTATCAGCCAATAATTGCTTGGGGATGTTTGATCGGCGGTCTCTATAAAGACCGATCTCAAAAGACAGATCTCAAGCTGATGAGAGGTTTGGCACGACATGCAGCGGCACCGTCTCAGTCCAGCGCGGGTGAAATAATTATAATGCTGAAGGTGAGGTACAATTCATATTTCTTCAATAAATAACTTAAAGTAATTTGAAAACTTTCTCTGAGACATAATTTGTGACCCTGGATCACAAAACCAGTCTTAAGTCGCTGGGGTACATTTGGCAGCAATAGCCAATAATACATTGTATGGGTCAAAATTATAGATTTTTCTTTTATGCCAAAAATCATTAGGATATTAAGTAAAGATCATGTTCCATGAAGATATTTTGTAAATTTCCCACTGTATATATATCAAAACTTCATTTTTGATTAGTAATATGTATTGCTAAGAACTTCATTTGGACAACTTTAAAGGCGTTTTTCTCAGTATTTAGATTATTTTGCACCCTCAGATTTCAGATGTTAAAATAGTTGTATCTCGGCCAAATATTGTCCTATCCTAACAAACCATATATCAAAGGAAAGCTTTCAGATGATGTATAAATCTCAATTTCGAAAAATTGACACTTAAGACTGGTTTTGTGGTCTAGGATCACATTTCACAAACACCGTGAGTGAATCACCGCGTGCACACTCTTTCACTCTTTAAATGTTTTGCCACTTGCTTGAGCAACTTAATATATAAATCTAGAAGTAAATGCAAAAGTAAAAAGCATTCAATAAAGTGTTTCTTATATTTATTGCGTTTAAACACGTCTATGAAAGATTGTATTATACTGTACCATGTAAAAAAAAAAAAATCACAAGGCTGAAAAAGCATTTTAAGTAACAATGTTTGGATTTGAAATCAAAATAATGGATAAATGTTGTATTTTGTAGTAAACAGCCACGGATCAGTTGCAGACACCTGTGTGAAAGCACAGTGAGCACCTGCTTGCTTCTGCACGGCTCATGTACCACACATGGACTGCATACGCACTGCAAACGGAGTATGAGTGAACCTGGTGTAAAAGGCCGCCTCACATACAGCTCACGAAATGAGGCTTGTGTGGTGTGTAAGCTATTGCGTAACAATTGCACGATTGTCAAAACAAAAATACAGTGTATGATTAAACATTTAGGCGAGATAAATATATATTTTTGAAAAATGTCTAAAAAATGCCCCCCTCAACCCCTCAAAATAAAAAAAAATCCCTTCTCACAAGAGTCACATAAGAGGGGAATTCATTTTCAAAAATGAAATTCAGGCCCTGAATAAATGTCTAAAAATCTTGATTGGATCATCACTATAAATAATTCTACATGATAAAAAGAAGGCTTTAAAAAGATCGGTATCGGTGATCGTATCGTCAGATACTGCTCTCTGTGATCGGCCTCAAAAATCCTGATCAGAGCACCCCTATTTTTCTGTAACTAATTAATTCAAATGAACATGCTAAAATGACACCTAGTCTTTAGCTATCTTCAAGAAACAGCTAAAGACACATCTAGTCCATCTAAACTGACCCTCTCTAACACTCGCACTCTTTTCTTTTTCTGTTCTACTTTTCTTTAACCCCCCCCCCCCCCCCCC